CCTGTATAAAATTAGTCTCAATGATCAAAATTGTCTCCTGTAGTCTCAGAACACTCAGTATCTTACTAACTGCTGCTGTATTTTTTTACCAAGTAATTGAATACATAGTGTTTCACTAAGTTACACAAAACAATTCAATTAATAAATTTCTGCTTTTACAGGGAGCTTATTTTGCCTGGAAAGCAACAGCAATGGGAAAAAATTACGTCAATGGGAAAACATTTCTTGAGAAAAGGTAATGTATTTGATACTTCTCTGAAAGAACACTGTGTTTTGTTCAGGTTCCATATAAAATAGACAGATTTTTAAAAAAATGTACACTTTTTAAATTCCAAAAACAAAGTTTTAAAATTCTTAAGGTGTGATGCTTCTAGTGTACTTGTTTATAAGTGCACAGGAAGTTTAATTTATTTAAACTCCATCTTCTGTGTTTATGTAGAGTTACTTGAGTGCACTAAACATTACATTTGCAGCAATGTTATCTACATTGTGTCAGTAGGAAAAGTAGGGATTTTTTTTTAACAAATAATAACTTTGACCATTAATGCCACTATGCTTACAAATAAAATTTGTATGAGAAACAGATTTTAGTAGTTTTTGGGATTTTAGAGACTCCAGGATTATTAAAATCTGTAAAGGGTTTTGTCTTATGCTGAAATAAATGCGTGTCTGTTTACAGATACAATGAAGATTTGGAGCTTGAAGATGCCATTCATACTGCTATCTTAACACTAAAGGTTAGCAAACTATTTAAGAAAGAAGCTTCTTGTGTCTTTACTGATATGGTTCACTGAACTGTGGTTTTTTTTTTTTGATAGGAGAGCTTTGAAGGGCAAATGACAGAAGACAACATTGAAGTTGGCATCTGTAATGAAGCTGGTTTTAGGAGGCTCACTCCAACTGAGGTTAAGGACTACTTGGCTGCAATAGCCTAGTAGAAACCAAGCTAGACTGTGGTTCACACAAAGGTCTTTTTAATTTTGGCTACTTAAATGTTTTTCTTTGCAGTTTTTGCATACTTATTTCTACATGGTTTGTCTGAGAGATTTTTTAAACATCATGGGTGCAAATACAACGGTCCTTGATATTGTAATACATGGAATCTTGTTAAAGAGAATTCTTTCCCTTGATACACAATACTGTACAAACTGTAAAGTTATAGTGACAGCTTGAAAAAGGCTAAAGAATAAAATCAGAGGCCATTGTTTTGGGGGAAGGTGTCTGTGTGTCTTTTCAATCCTAGCCTGTTTATCTACATAAAACTTAGATTTCAGCATCCTTATTGCTGAGGAAGCAGTTTTTCATATACAGCCATGATGAACTTAATGTTCAGCCTTCTTTTAAAAAAATTAAATGTTGAGTGATAATTTTTTCACTTTGGAATATTGTTTAAATGTTAATTAACCTCCAGAAATAGTTTTATGGGATGCACAACATCATGTACTTTCACAAAAGGGCAGGAAAGTATTCCATTTGAGACGTGTACTGTGATCTGATTGAGTCACTCTGCTTTTGACCGTCCTGGTCTTTGTGTCCTAAGAACTTGTTTTACTTGAGTTATTTTCTTGGCCCTTGAAATTGCACCTTTTCAATCTTGAAATATTGTTAGGAAAAGTAGAAACAGTAACTCTTACTGAAAACTAAATGCATTTATCACTATCAATAAAAATCAATGGGATTTACAAAACAGAATGTGAGAGTATGTAATGTAATTACTTTATCCCTTGAATCGTGCTAAAGTATTTTCCAACGTGCAAGATAATTCTGAAGATGTAATGAAAGGAACATTTAATTTGTGCATTTTTATAGATATTGAGTGGATATATCAATATGTTTGTTACATGTGTAGAGTCATTCAAGTCATAAAAACCTATAATTTACCACAAAAGAAATGGGATAAATACACTTTTTTTAACATAAATAATCTGGTCTGCAGCTATTTAAGTTACTGTTTTCAGATTTTTAAAGCAATCTGATTGTTAAAACATTGATAATGAACTCGGAGCAGCAGCTGAATCAGTCTGCTTGTCCGTAAGGCCAAGGATGTAGGGGAGCAGCCTGGCAGGTCCCTCATCAGCCAGCCATAACTAGTGAAGAAAATACAGAATACCAGTAGAAATAGTGTATAAGCTGGTTGACCTGTGTTTTCCAATGTCTGTCTTCTGATGGTTTTTGTTATCATCAGGTGAATAAGAATTTCTGAAGCATGCCAGAAATGAATTTTTATTTCCTAATGTCAGAAATAAAAGCTCTGTCCAAATGGTTCATTAAGAGTTCTGCCAGATCACTTTTTGAGTATTCTAGTCTGAAAACCAGGCCATACTCCGATTCTTATTCTAGAGAAAATAAATCTATTCAGATCTGAAACTGAAAGCTTTATATTGCTGCATCTTTGATGTAGAATATTTATGCACACTTAGTTTTTTTTTAATACTGTATAAATATTCAAGAGTTTTCTGCATGCAAAAATATGGGCAGGTACTTCAGAAGTTGACTGCAGTGGTTTAGTTGTCCCTGCTAATAGAAACAGTTGATGAGCAAAGAACATCCTATGAAAGGTAGTTGAAACCAAAGCAAGTTTCAAACCACAGTAAGTTGCTCCTTGTTTTGTGTTAAACGATATGAATAGGTCTCTGGTCTGCTGCCAGTGGTTTTCACTTCGATAAGCCAAGCTGGTGACTGTTTTTGCACCATTAAGAACAGTCCCAGAGCTCCCTGGTAATACTTAAACCCTGCAGAGAATCAGAATTCATGGCATTTGGTGTAATTTGGAAACAATATGCATACTATTTTGAATTCAGGCTTTATTTAGAGTATTAGATAATTTCCTTATGGTAGTCAGACCTTGATACTATGCTGCTCTGGTGGGGAAAGTGGTGTAGTTTAAGTGCAGGGTTCTTTTTTTAACTGCATGTCTAGAATAGTAGATAAATTTTATCTGCTATTTAAAGGGAAATCTTTAAACTCCAGAGAACTAACGTGTTTTTCCATTTAAAATCTAAGGAAATAGTATTTTTAACTTGAAGATGTATTTCTTAAAATAATTTCAGGAGTGAGTGATACTAGTGCAGTGGACTGCCAAATTATATGGTGATTGTGGTAATTTTCAAGAAGTGCACCCTTTAGTTACATGAGATTAGCTTTTTTTAAAATATTTTGTAGAAACTGCATAAAGGGGTCAAGGTGCAATAAGACAGACAAACATTGTTCCTCTGTGAGAAATGACAAATTACAGGCTTGATTACTTCAGCTTACTATGAATTATAACTTTGTGTCATTTAACTTGTTCCTACTAATGCAGTCATCTGAAAGAAGAAGAGACACTCGTCGCTTGCAGCATGTAATGTTGATTTGCTTATCCTGGAAGAAGATCTGCTCCCAAGGTCCTCAGGACAGTGTGACACCTATGAGAACTGGACTTCATTTAACAAGTGGGATCGGGATCTGAGAACAGTGACTTCATTTAATGAAGTTACTACTTTAAGTCACAGAATCACAGAATGACATCTGGTCCTACCTCCTTGTTCAAGCAGAATCATCTTAGAGCAGAGGGCACAGGATTGTGTCTAGATGGTTCCTGAATAGCTCCAGTGAGGGAGACTACCACTTCTCCAGGCAGACTGTTCCAGTGTGCCATCACCCACAGTAAAAGGCATACAGGTGCAGTAAGCCCCTTACAACTTGCTTTGGCTTACTATTGCTTTCCAGATCTTGTGAAATCATTCAGACAAGTAGAGATCATCTCTCCCTGCAAGAACTGGCACTCAGAAGCCAAGTCTCTCCCACACTGTAAGGGAGTATTGCTGTATGGAGAGGAGTGGGACCATAGCCATGTCTGCTGCATGGAGGCAGGCAGCAACTTGGGGCAGATATTGGGGACACTTGCTCACGTATTCACAGAATGGTTTAGTACAGTCCATTTGTGTTCTCCAAATGTAACAGACCCAACGTGCACAGATCCACCATGCATGGAGCCTGGGCTCTTGCTTCTCCAGTGAAGTTAAAAAGTCCAAGGCTAACTTGTCTCTGGCCTGTCCCCATTATTCTATGCTATTGCAGCCTCGCATTGAATATTGTGTGCTGTTCTTGAGCATCAGGCTATAAGAAAGCTACTACAGAGCATCTAAAGAGGGGCAACACAGATGGTGAAGGGCCTTGAGGGGAAGCTGTATGAGGAGCAGTGGAGATCACTTGGTCTGTTCAGCCTGGAGGACACTGAGGGGAGACCTCATTGCAACTGCAACTTTTTCATGAGGGGAAGAGGGTGGGCAGACACTGATCCCTTCTCTGTGGTGACCAGTGGACAGGATCGTGGGACTGATCTAGAGCTGTGTCATAGGAGGTTTAGGTTGGGTATTAGAAAAAAGTTCACACAGAGGGTGGTTGGGCAGTGAAACAAACTCCCCAACACTATGCCAGACACGGTTCAAGAGGTTTTTGGACAATGCTGAGGCACACGGTGTGACTCTTGGGGCTGTCCGGGGCAGGACCAGCAATTGGACGCAACGATCCTTGTGAGTTCGTTCCAACCAAGAATATTCTGAGACAGCGTTTGACCTGAAGTAATGCATTTGGCCCTTGAAGGGTTTTGGCGATAAGCCGCGGGCACGCCGCGGAGCAGCGGCAGGCCGCGCGGGCCGGGGCGGCCGGAGCGAGGCGGGTGGTGCGGCTGTCCCCGCCCGGCGGCCCCGGGGGAGGTGCCGGCTGGGCCGGGCCGCGCCACGCCAGCCCGGGCCGAGGGCTGTGGCCGCCGGGCTGTGAGTACGGGCTGCGGGGACTGGCGAAAGGCGGCGGCTCCGGGGGAGTGAACGGGGCTGCGAGCCCGGAGAGGGGAGGCGGGCCCGAGCAAAGCGCGTCCCGGCAGCGACTGGGGGACGGGGAAAACAGGAGGGACAAGGGTCGGCCTCACGCCGGCCCCGGCGGAGCGGGCGGGTACGGGTGGGCGGAGGGCGAGGCTGGGGGCGGCCGGGGGGCCGAGCCGGGCTGGGGCGAGCGCTGAGGGCGCCGTGCGGCCCGAGATGGCGGCGCGGCCTCCCCGGCGCGGCGAACACGTGATGGCGGAGCGGCGGCAGAGGAGAGGGCCGGGCCGGGCCGCGGGCGGGAGCGGCCGCCGGTGCCGCCGATCCCCGCCCCGGGGAGATCGGGCCCTGGGGCGAAGGCAAGGGACGGTGTGTGACCTTGTGGTTGATAGTGGCGGTACTGCACAGTAGTTGTGCTGAAAAAGTAGTTGCGTGTGTGGTTTTATTGTCACTGCAAGCCTTGATTTATGCTCTGTGTTGAAGCCTGTGTGTGTTTGTGTGTGCGTGTGTGTAGGAATTGTAGCTGCTGTGGGGAGAGGTGCCCAATCACTAATCGAGAGGTTTTCCTCATTGCATTACATTCAAGGATAAGCTTGTGGCGGTGGCAAAGAGTTTGAGGGGGGAAGGCTGATTTTTCTGGCCTCCTGGGACCGTGAAGAGCGTTAGTAAGTCGTCTCGGAAGGCATCAGGATTTTTGGCCATGAAGTAGCAGGTGGAGATGTTGCTCATCCTGGATGGGGACCAGGCCAGTAGCAGTTAATATTTCCATGTTTCCACTTGGACATAGGGCCGGGGAGGCCCACTGTTTGGAGGCAGGCCACTGAGTTGCCCTGCAGAGCCTGTTGTGGCACTTGGCTGTGTCCTGTTTCCTGTTGCTCCTTTTCAGTTGGAGTTTCATTTATCTTGTCCTTTAATACCACTTTACTTCAACATGCAGGTTAGGTAAGAATTACAGTGTTTATACTTGTAGTCAGGAGTAAAAGTTTATTAATTTCACTATTCATAATGGTCCTAAATATGCTATTGTTTGGTATAGTATGAATCCTACATTTTCAAAGACAGCACATATTCAGTAAAAGAATTCCAATCATACTTTATTTAAGGAAGGACTGCTAAAGTAATACAGATGTGAAAAAATAGATTTAGCAGATGCAGGCCAGTAAATCTCTTAGTAGAATTAGAAAACATAGCAACTTTAGCATAGAGGTTCTCCTGGTACTAGAACTATGATTCATAGTCTGTCATGAGGCTGTGTAATAGAAACGTATGATGGTTTAGGTTAGAAGGGACATTAAAGATAATTTAGTTGCAACCCCTCTGCTGTGTGCTGGGACACCTTTTACTGTGGTGCCTTTTACTAGACCAGGTTGCTCCAAGCCCCCTCCAACCTGACCATGACTTTTACCACTTCAGGGATGAGGCATCCACAACTTCTCTGGGCAGCCTGTCCCAGTGCTTCACCACCCTCTGAGGCATTCATGCACTGAGTTGAGCAGTGCAGGTTGAAATCTGCATAGTGGGTAGCTTTTAATATTAACAGTAAGTGTGATGAGAGGGAGAGGCAAGATTTGCTTACGGCATTATCTGGATTTCTGATTTTGCTCTGGATGGCAGCTTTTACAACTGAGCTGTGAGAGTTAAGATGCCTCTAAGTGACTGGCTGAGTGAAGGTCTCTTACATGGCAGGTAGGGGGAAACCACAAGCTTGCAAGGTCTGTGTGTAGACTTAAGTGCTACCTAGCTGAGAACTGGGGTCTTCTGAGGCCGTAGGTTGGATTTCTAAAGGTGAAGGAGAAAAATTGAACTCAACACCAGGACTTTGTGTTGAGGTTCCAGTTCCTTGTGCTTTACAATAGCTTAAGTCTACTGCAAGGCTGGAGTGTATACCATTAGAAAGAACTCTTTTGACGGTTTTTATTCTTGGCCATGCAATAACAATCTTCTCCTTTGTTCTCACTTGACAGGAATAATGTTTCCAACATGTCTGTGCAGTCGCTGCTTTGTGAAAGAATTGCTGTTGCCAAAGACTTGATTAAGAGAGCTGAAGCCCTTTCCAAGTCCCAGAAAAGGAGAATAGAAGGTGGGGCAAAGCTATGTAGCAAACTGAAGGCAGAGCTAAATTTCTTACACAAGGTGGAGGCAGGGAAAGTGGCCATTAAAGAATCCCATCTGCAGAGTACAAACCTTACCCACCTCCAAGCCATTATTCAGTCAGCAGAGAACCTGGAGGATGTTGTCAGTGTCCTCCATGTCTTTGCGTACGAGGACAGGTTTGGAGACAAACAGACGCTGGTGGTAGATGTTGTTGCAAATGGAGGTCACACGTGGGTGAAGGCCATCGGTCGTAAAGCTGAGGCCCTGCATAACATCTGGCTGGGAAGGGGACAGTATGGTGACAAAAGTGTCATTGAGCAGGCAGAAGACTTCCTGCAAGCAAGCCGTCAGCAGCCAGTGGAGTACAGCAATCCCCACATCATCTTTGCATTCTACAATAGCGTGTCCAGTCCTATGGCAGAGAGGCTCAAGGAGATGGGAATATCTGTGAGAGGAGATGTTGTTGCTGTGAACTCACTGGTAGAGCCATCTGCAGAAAATGAGCACCTTGACACCAGTGAATCAGATGAAGAAGGCCCTGAACTCCTGCAGGTGACCAGAGTAGACCGGGAGAATTTAGTGGCCAGCATTGCTTTCCCTACCCAGATCAAAGTAAATGTCTGCAACAGAGTTAATTTGGACATCACTACCTTAATTACCTATGTCTCTGCACTGAGCTATGGTGGCTGCTACTTTGTCTTCAAAGAAAAAGTGCTGACAGAGCAAGCAGCCCAAGAAAGAAGGGAGAGAGTCCTGCCTCAGCTGAAGGAGTTCATGGAGGGAAAAGAGCTCTTTGCCTGTGAATCTGCTGTCAGAGATTTTCAGTCCATCTTGGAAACGCTGGGAGGACCTGGAGAGAAAGAGCGAGCTGCATTGCTTGTTAAAAGAATTAATGTGGTGCCAGATCAGCCCTCGGACCGTGCCTTAGGACTAGTGGCTAGTTCAAAAATCAACAGCCGCTCTTTAGCCATTTTTGGGACAGGAGACACTTTGAAAGCCATCACCATGACTGCAAATAGTGGGTTTGTGAGGGCAGCAGCAAACCAAGGTGTCAGGTTCAGTGTTTTTGTCCATCAGCCACGAGCATTGACAGAAAGCAAAGAATCTTTTGCCACGCCTCTACCAAAGCGCTGCCCATCTGATAATGGAGTGTAACTCATTAAATGAGTTAGTAATGGAAAATACTGCAGGTAGTGCAGCATTTGGAGAAACAAGAGTCATAGCATTACAGTTTTGGTTGTGCATCAACAGTGACAGTAACTAGCAGTGGAAGAGCTCCTCAAGGAATTTGTAATATCTCTACTCCTTCCTTGAGGTTATTTTTTGCCCAGCTGACCATTAATTTATTCACTAAAGTAATAACAAGTCAATGAAAATTTTTAACTGGCTTACAATGTATTAATTGAATCCATCCCCATTAAAAAGTTCAGTTTAAACAAAGTTACTGAGGTCCCCTTGTTATTTTTGTCCTCCTTGCAGAGGTAAAATTTGTCATCTTAGATGAACTTTGGGCTTGACTTCCATGGAACTTAAATCCTTCTTCTATTCCATCTACTCTTGGTTTTGGTTGATTCAGAGGGACCTTGTGCAGAGACCTATGCTTTTTGGGAGTGTGATGTTTCGTGAAGATGTGACTAGTAGCCATGAATAGGAACCAATTTAAGCCTTCCTTGTCTTACTGAAAGCAACCTCTATGTATACCATGGTTAGGCTGAATTGGGCAACAGCTCTAAAATTCCTGGAAAAAATCAGTTGGAGTTTATTTGCATTAATACGTTGTGGCTCTTGGGCTAAACTGGACAGCCAGTGGTAGCACACCAAGGAGGCACATCTGCTTCACTTGTCTTCTAGCCTTTGTCCAAATGCAGTCTTGCTGGTTGTAAAGCCCAACTCAAAGCTTCAGATAACAGAATCCTAAACTGAGCCAGCACCCAGGTAGTTTTTGATATTAGCGTGCTCTTTGCTGAGGACTCATGGTTGAACTGGAAACTGACTTTGTTGCATCTGAATTAGAAGGCCTCAGTGAGGTTCTTTAGTGTTGGAGTGATGGACGAGATTTGCAGGGTATGTTCTTAAGTCCTAGTTGGCTCTGTAGAAGAAAGAAGCCTTTTTGCTGGTGATGTAATTGCTCTTTTTATTCAAAGTGTAGAATAAACAACTATTTCTTCTGCTGTATATTTTTTTCTTTGCCTAGGAGAGATATGCGGTTGTAGGAGTCTTTATTGTGGGTTTTTTTTCAGAATGCAGTAATGACAGCACTTGCTTTTTGGTATTAATTTTCATCAGGTTAGTAGTGGAAAATCTTGAGATGTCAGAGTGAAGCTCTGAGCCCCAAGCTATACATTTTTATCAGGTCAGTGAAAGAGATACCTGCTGAATATTTTATAGTTGTTGTTTAACACAATTGCATTATTATGCAGCTTAATAGTTCACGCAAAGAACATTCTCTTGCCACTCCACTCTTAAATTTCTTCCTACAGTACAATGTATCTGCAGTGCTGCCCTTAGCTGTAGGCTCAAACCATTTCTTTCTGATTGCTAGCAGTGACGCAGAGATACTGGAATGCCAACAAGACCACTCGGCATGCCTTGTTCAGCTGAGTAGGATGAACTCCCAAGGGGCAGAAGTGTACTTCTTGTTGGTGGGATTCTTGGTCTGCTCTTACTATGCCTGTAGAGTAAAATGGTAGCAGTGGTCACCAGTAACCATATGCTGCATAGCTTTAACAATGTGGAGGGCAGTCTTCTCTCTCTATGCTCCCTTTTTTCTGTGCATCTCTGAAGTAGTTAATGAAGTTTAACATGGGTGGAACTGGATTTTGGGTTTTCCTACATCAGCATCCAATGTACTACCTGCAAGTTTCTCAGTTCCTTGGTGAGTTCTAACAAAACATCTAGCTTGTTCTACAGTCTACCACAGTGTTATGAAACCTCATGGCAGGATTCATCCCCCACCGTATCCATTAATTTTCTTGAAAGTTCTTCTGAAGGGAGAGGAGGACCAACACAGTGAAACAATAATATATTGGCTGTGCTGCAGAAATACAAATCTGCCTTAGTAGTTAACAGCGCAAGCTTCACCATGCAGGAGCTTAGAGAGGCAGTAATCTGTCATGGTGTGATGCATTTACCAGAAACAACCAGAGATGTCTGTGAAGTGTTATAAACAGCTGGAAGGAAAGTACCTTTCATTTCTGCCATGAGAGGTCTTACTTTGGACACCTATGTGATGTCTTTCCTCTGCAGTAGGTGTGGGAATAGGACTTGGGGAGGCCATCTGTCTGAGAGGAGAAGAACCATGTGTTTCAAAACTGTGTTTGTCTTGCATCACGTGTCCTGAGAAAGGGTACAGGAAACCTCCTAGTTAATAATTTATGAACAAATAACATGGGATGGAAGGGTTCTTTTTGTCTGCAGCTCAGAGCTGTAAAAGTTGAGGTTCCAAAAGACAGCTTCCTATTTCATAGATTCACAAAATGTTAAGAGGTTCGAATGGACCTTAAAGATCATCTAGAACCAACCTCACCTGCCATGGGCAGGGACGCTTCCCACTAGAGCAGGTTGCTCAAGGCCTTATCCAACCTGGCCTTGAACACTGCCAGGGATGGGGCATCCACAGCCTCCCCGGGCAGTCTGTTCCAGTGTCTCACCACACTTGCAGTAAAATAATTCCTAATATTTAACCTAAATTTTCCCTCTTTCAATTACTCCTTGTCCTGTCATTGCAGTTCCTGATGTAGAGTCTCTCTCCAGCTTGAAGAAGTCTTCAGCTTCCCTGTACGTCCCTTTCAGATACTGGAAGGTTGCCATCAGGTCTCCATGCAACCCTCTCTTCTCCAGGCTGAACAGCACAAATTTTCTCAGCCTGTGTTCATAGGGGAGGTGCTCTGGTTCTCTTATTAGCTTTGTGGCCTCCTCTGGACTTGCCCCAACAGTTCCATGTCCTTTTAATGTTGGGGACACGACAATTGTGCACAGTACTCCAGGTGGGATCACATGTGAGCAGAGTAGAGGGGCAGAATCACCTCCTTTGACCTGCTGGCCACACTCCTTGTGATGCAGCCCAGGATTCAATTGGCTTTCTGAGCTATGAGCACACACAGCTGGCTCGTGTAGAGTTTTTCATCACCTGTCACCCCCTGGTCTTTCTTAGCAAGGCTGCTCTCAATCACTTCTCTGCCCAACTCATTGGTGTGTCTGGGATTGCAGTGACTCAGGTGTAGGACCTTGCGCTTTGCTTTGTGGAACTTCATGAGGTTTGCATCGACTCCTGCATGGTATTATCCCTTCCCTCCATGGTGTCAGCTGCACCACAAAGCTTGGTGATGTCAGCAAATCTGCTGCTGAAGGTGCACTTGGTCTCCCTGTCCACATTGCTAGAAAAGATGTTGAAGAGCCTCAGTACCAATCTCTGAGGGACACCACTCATCACTGGTCTCTGTGTGTAGCCATTGACCACAGGTCTTTGGCTATCCAGCTTTATCCACCGAGTGGTTCATCCATCAAATCCCTGTTTCTTCAATCTGGGACAAGGATGTCATGCAGGAGTGTGAAACACTTTGCATTTAGTGCAGCTAGGCAATGTCAGTTGCTCTGCCTCTGTGCACCAACTCTGTAGCCCTGTCATGGAAGGTCAGTAGTTTTGCCAGGCATGATTTCCCCCTTTAAAAACCATTTTGGCTGTTACCAGTCATCTCTTTGTTGGCCAGGTACCTTAGCATCTCCAGCAGAATCTGCTCCATGACCTTGCATGGCACAGAGGTGAAACTGACTGGTCAGTAGTTCCCTGTGCCTTTCACTTTCCCCTTTTTAAAAATGGGGGTTACATTTCCCCATTATCAGGGACATCACCTGACTGCCATGATTTTTTCAGAAATGATGGATAATGGCTCAGCAGCTTTGTCTGCCAGCTATCTCAGGACCCATGGATGAGCCTCATTGGGTCCTGCGGACTTGTGCACATTCTCAAACCTGACATGGTCCCTAACCTGATCCTCTCCTACGGGGGGCTCAGGGTCTTCATCCTCCCAGTCCCTGCATCTGCCTTTCTTGACCAGGGTGGTGTGGCTGGAGCACTTGCCGTTGAAGACAGAGGCACAGAGGTTGTTGAGAACTCCAGCCTACTCTTTGTCTAGGCTAGGCAGGTCTCTCTTTTCCTTACAGAAAGGCCTCACCTTAGCCTGGTCTTTCACTTGCTTGCAATGTTTCTATAGAAGCTCTTCCTGTTATCCTTAATATCCCTGGCCAGACACAGTTCTAACTAGGCCTTGGCTTCTCTACCCTTGTCCTTAGCTTCCCATACAACTTTCCTGCCCTTTTCAGGCCCTCTGTCCTCGTTTCCACTTTCTGAAAGCTTCATTTCTCGCTTTGAGTTTGCACAGCAGCTCCTTATCCATCCATAGAGATCTCCTGGCATTTTTGCTCAGTCTCCTTGTTGAGATACCTTGCTCCTGAGCTTGGAGGAGGTGATCCTTGAAATTCAGCCAGTGATCTTGGGCCCTTCTGCCTTCCAGGGCTCTATCCAATGGGACTCTATGAAATAGGTCCTTGGAGAGGCCAAAGTGTGCTTTCTGAAGTCCAGGGCGGTGAGCTTACTGCGTGCTCTCCTCGCTGTCCTCAGGATCAAAACCACCATCTCCTGGTCACTGCAACCAAGCCTGCCTTGAAGCACTGCATTCCCCACCAGTTCCTTTCTTTTGTGAACACAAGGTCCAGCAGTGGCACCAAAGATACTTTTTTTCCTTCTTTGTCGAATAGATCCTGTTATCCCCCAGTAAACTAGGCTTGGCAAAGCGAGTCTATGAGTCTTAGTAACCAAAACCTGGGCTAGGGCACCATTTGTTGGCTGGTGGCTATTTTGCTAGGGTAGCCATTTGTTGACCTGCCAGATTTGTTTACATATTTCAAGTTTCTCTCCTTTGACCTGGAGGATTAATGGAAAAACTACTTGAACTCCAGAGCCCTTCACTATCTCTCCCAGGACTCCTTAGTCCCTCTTAATGCTTCCCAGACTGATGCCAGCTGTATCACTGGCTTCCACATGGAACACTATGAGTGTGTAATAGTCTGTGTTTGAGTAGGCTTGGGAGCTTCTTAGTAATGTCCCAGATCCAGACTCCTGGAAGGCTGCCCACCTCCCTTGAGAGTGGGTCAGGCCAACAGATGAGTGCCTCTGTACTTCACCAAGCCGAATCACCCACCCCTGTCACCTGCCACCTTTTCTTGGTTGAACTTGTCATTAATTTCTTTATTTGTAGAACAGGTTGCGCAGCTCCAGTTATCTCCTGCTCTCTGAGGTTCATCTGGGTCATCAAATTCCTTTTCCCAATGACTGAGTTGAAGGCATATTTATTTCTCTTCTAGTTTGATCACTCACTCTGTAAGTTTTGCACTCTACCTTTGCACCCTGCCCATTCAAACAGCCTCTTGTGTTCCCCGGAGCTGTTTAAATCTCCCTCAGATGCTCCTGGCAATGCCTCCTTCTTGCCAGTGATTTTTCACTAATGAATCTGTTTTATAGTATATAGGATATAGTCAAAGCTAGGTGCATGGTAATAGTGCACTTATGCACGGTAATTCATTATGGCCTTTCAATTCTTTGCATTTAAGTTAATATGCTTACAGCCTTTTCACCCTGATAAGGGCTTTGAATGAGTAAATGGAAGACAGCTGCTTTATTCCACTTCTTGCTGTGACTCTAAAGAAATGCATTTCTATCATTTTCCCTGCTGCATTGCATTCAGCAATCTTGAATATGCTCTTGGGTACCCTCTAAAGAAGTTTCTCCAAGTCTCAGGTGCAGTGGCCCGCATTTAAACATGGTAGGTGACCCAGAGAAAGCACACACAGAGCAAATGACCTCTGTGACAGAGGTCACCACAGAGCAAGTGACCTCTGTATTCCAGAGATCAGAAGTGAGTGAGTTCTGCTTGCAGTATTCCTTCACAGCTGCTGCTGCAGAGCTGGCAGACTTGTTTTGCAAGGACGCTTCTGTGTGATCTGTAAGCGCAACTCTGTTGAAAAGCCTCTGTATCTGGAGCCACCGTGTGGTGATTTTCTTCATTACCAGCCCTTTTTGACTGACACAGTAGTTGCTATTGAATCAATTTTCTTTCTGTTACTAATTTCTGCCAATCATATTGGCAATATTTTAGGAATATTAAACCCTTTCTACA